ATTAACTCTTACTTATAAGCTACAAGATTGTTTTTTTCACATTTACTACAAACTTCAGTTAACTATGGACAAATATTCAAATCAGTTTTCAGAAATGAAATAGTTTCAATCAGATAGCCTGAGGGTTATGAATTTTTTTAATGTTGTGATATCAATACTTTCCATTGTATTAATTCCATTAATATTAATGAGTGCTCTTTTTCACTGTTTCTGTTTGACCTGCATCCTGTTGGTTTCATCTCACATTTTTTATTCTTTATTAAGAATGGGGAACTGCAATTTGTCAAAGAACAGCTGGACCTCTCTATTCTCAGCTCTGAAGTCCAACCCCTCCCATCTGACAGAACTGGACCTGAGCTACAACAACCTCTCTGAGTATGTGATGAAGGAGCTGAGCAGCTTTCTGCAGAGTCCACTCTGTGGACTGAAGACTCTGAGGTCAGACACCATGTTTTAGTTGTTAGTTAAGATGAAGATACTGATGTGAAAGTTGTGATGGTCTTCATGGTAAAGTGGGTTTTCTTCTTCTGTGGTTTATTTTGTGAAATGCTGATTAAGTGAATAGGAACCAAATACTGTGAATGTGTCAGACAGAAACAGATCTCCAATCACTGGCTGATGCTTCTAGAGGTCCAGAGTTAGTGAAGAGTTTTGTGTGAAACAGTAACAACAAATTGGAGCAGCTGATAGGAAAAAACTCCCCTCCAACACTGCTGGAATAGTAAAAGATGTTGGTAATGGTAACATGAATTTTCTGTCCCCCAAAAAGTCCTGAAAGCAAACGTCTGTTTGTGACCACAAGCTTGGGTTTGGGTTCAGGAAAATTATTCCCAAATACAGCAGCTGATCCATCTATCTCCCTCAACATTCAATGTAAACATAAGAAACCTGTGCTGCAAACAACTGGACCAGACACAGTATCTATTCTAGTTTCAACAAATAAACTAGGATTCCTATTTAACGCTGTGAGCCATGCAGAGCAGCAGGTCAGGGGGGTCATCAGGTAGAACCTCCTTCATCAGTGTTTGGTCTAGTTGGACCCGCAACACTTCCAGGAGGCTAGGCAGTGATCACTGGTGACCCAGAGTCACTCCCCTAATGCCAGTCACCTCTGGAGTCAGAGGACTGTCAAAGGTTTCCTAGTACTACTTTTAGATCTGTAGTCAAATTTTGTGTGTGCACAAAAATGCTGAACATTAAATTATTCGGTCATAAACATGAGTCTGAGTAATTATTCTGCTTAGGACTTATTCTGTGTGACTGAATGTAAAAGTTGTGAGTGCAAATCATTGTGAATAAAACTCTAACTTCTATGACCATGAAGTTTTAACTGCTGTTGACACAGTGCTCAACTTTGTGAACACAAGTGAAAAAGTGTTTGAATTATGTCACAAATGTGATTAATAGAACCCTTGTTAACCTGCATCCTTTTGGTTTCAGCTCACATCTTTTATTCTTTCTTCAGATTGATAAACTGCAGTTTTTCAGAGATCAGTTGGACTTCTCTGGTCTCAGCTCTGAAGTCCAACCACTGCCATCTGATAACACTGGACCTGAGCAAGACCAGAAACATCTCTGACTTTATGATGAAAGAGTTGAGCAGCTTTCTGCAGAGTCCACTCTGTAGACTGATGATTCTGAGGTCAGACACCATGTTTCAGTTGTTAGTTCAGATGAAAATGAATCCATCCATTCTGCACTGTTTATTCCCAACGTATCATGGTCCCAGTATGCAACACGCCAGAGGCGGGTGCACCCTGGACAATCACAGGGGCCACATAGTGACACATAATCACACACACTCACTCCTAAGGGCAAGTTAGAGTGTCCAATTCACCTAACATGCATGTCTGTGGGTGATGGGAGGAAGCCAGAGAACCCAAAAAGAAACCACGTACACACAGAGAGAACATGCAAACTCCACACAGAAAGGTCCTGGTTCACCTAGGGACTAAAAGCAGGAACCCTCTTGCTGAGGCGATTGTGTTAACCACCACACCTCCATGCCACTCTACTGATAATCTTCATGTTTAAATATAATTTTAAACATGTTTCATTTGTCTGGGTAATTATAAAATTGATTTTCATTACTTATAGATCTGTGCTGAATAGGCAATAGTGTAAATGTGCATTATCTTTTTTCAATTTCAAGTTATTATGATAATTGCTTATTTTTAGTATCATTATAATATCAGAAAGAAAGTTTTTTGGGTGTTGTATTATATCAAATATTGTAACAAAACAAAATCTGAAGTCACTGAGTTTTTAGTTAAGCATCAGTATGTTGTCATTAATGTGAATGAGAGCTCTTTTTCACTGCTTCTGTTTTACTTTTTTAACCTGCATCCTGTTGGTTTCAGTTAACATCTTTTATTCTTTATTCAGTCTGAAGTTCTGCAGGCTGTCAGAGATCAGCTGTGCTTCTCTGGTGTCTGCTCTGAAGTCCAACCCCTCACATCTGACAAAACTGTACCTGGATTCCAACAACCTGAAGCAGTCAGATGTTCAGCAGCTGTTGGATCTGGAGCAGAGTCCACACAACAAACTAGAGACTCTGAGGTCAGTAGGGAGCTGGAGATCCATATGAACTAAACCCAGTTGGTACCAGAGCAAACATCCAGTTTCCTGTGAACATGCAGCCTTTTCGGTGTTAAGCTGTGAGAGCAGAATGATGTCAGGCTTTTTCAGCAGTCAGCAAAAAGAGCCAGTCAACCAATCAGATTAGCAGCTTGTTGTGTGAATGGTGCTGAAAGCCTCTGCAGGTGTGTGAGCTTCCTGCTCCAACATGTGAACATGAGAGCTGACAGGAAGCTGCTCTGAACAGGACGGAAGTCCCTGCTGCTCTTTCTACTGCATGCTGCTCACTGCTGACAGCTGAGGAACAAACACTCTTTCATCCCCTCTGTTTCTGCTTCTCTCTGCAGCTTTTGATGATGAAGAGGAGGGTGAGAGCTGAGAGGAAGATATGTGTCCTGATGATCCACAGAAGATGAAGTAGCAGCACCTTGTGTGAGGAGGAGGAGGAGGTCTGTTACTATTCTGGGTTTTCTTCCTCTAGGATAATGATCACGTCTCTGTCAGGGAGGGTGGATCTTGGGGGAGGATTCAGACGCGGAGATGACGGAAAAACAAGGTTTATTGTAACAAAAAACACTCATGAAGAGTGAATGTCAAGACAAAGTACAAATCAAGGCTGTGGAAAACTGTGAGCAAAGTATCAAAGCAATAAGTAAACAAGACTGTGGCAAAGTAACAAAATAAAGATTAACAAAACTGTGACAAGGGTGTGGCAAAACATAGCTATGGAACAAAGTAAAAGACTATGGCAAAAAGCAAACTTGGCGTGGGGGTGACGAAGGACAACAGACGAAAGGACGAAAAGACTAAACAAGAAGGACGAAAACGCACTCGCACAAGACAAGGGGAAACGAGGACTATTTAAACACATGAGGGAGGGGAACCCCAGGTGTACACAATAGGTAATCAAGACATGACGAGACACCAGACATTCCCCCAGACGTGACAGTCTCATGAACACTTAGAGCTGAAATGCTTCTGTGGCAACTTTTTCTTCACATCAGACCTCCATCAAATGTTCTCTATGTTTAGATGTCTGGATTTCCAGCAATGTGCAATATGATTGTTTTTAAGTTTGAAATGATTTAGCAGCTCTGATTCAGACAGACACAATAAGTGAAGCATCAACAGAGCTTACATGAGGTTACAAAGGGTCATTTAAGGTTTACTTTGTCACATTTTAACTGTATTATAACTAAAAACATTTTTTACTAGAGAGAAAATACAAGTTCTTATCAATATGAGCTGTAATAAAGCTACAACCTTTAGGTCAAAGGTGAACAACACAGTGACATTATTTTTTAATCAAAATCTTATAATCTCTTGTATCTATGACAACAAATTAAAGATAATATAAACAAACTATATTGATAATTTTCTGGTAAAATCATGTTTCCTTAGTCTGATTAGGAAGCAGACCCCACAGAAACAATGTTTTAACATTAATGGAGTCATCTTCCAATAGTCATGTCCATCGTCCAGTGAACAATGTTTTAGGCCAATCTGCATCATAACTCAGTCCATGAAGCTGACTGAGCACAGAGCAGACTGCTGATGCTCTGGAACTGAAAGAAGAGGATGATGCAGAGCAGCATCCACGCACACTGCACAGCAACATCAGAGCATTTCAGTTTGAATACCTACTCATTTGTGTTTAAAAACATGTTGCTTCCTTTTTCAGATGCTTGTAAATTCATTAAAGTATGAAGTGTTTTCATTTCTTTTTTAGAAAAATGTTCCGTAAGAAGCAAAGAACAGAGTCAAACCAGATTATTCCTGGTTTTTGTTTTATAGGAAGACAACGAAAATAAATGAAAGGACAAGAGATCCAAATAAACAAAAAAGTAAAACAACACAAAATGCCCTATCCCACCCAAATATGTGTACAGAGTGACAATGTTTTTTTTTCAGTTGTAAAACACCGTCACCATCACCAAAAAAACATAATGAAAGCATCACCATCTGAAAAGAGAGAGAATCCTGTCATTTTTCAAAATAAAAAAAATTTACAAAATAAAATATGACCCCGGTGCCAAATGATCCACGGACCGGTACCGGACTGCCGCCCGGGGTTTGGGGATCACTGCTCTAGACCAATGAGCCTCAAGATTCAGAGCTGGGAATAGAGCATGATGGTTTACACTTACACTTATTCATGTGGCACATTTGTCTTTTTCCAAAATGGAAAGTAATTGAGATAAATTTAGACAGAAACAGTTTCTGTGGTGTAGTGGTCATCACATTCGTCTAACACACGAAAGGTCCCCGGTTCGAAACCGGGCAGAAACATGCTACTGTTTTGCTTACTTTCAACAACTGAAAGGATGAGTTGAAGCAAAAACTCCAGCAATCTAATGTCCATTGAGACATCGGCTGCTTGTAGTGCCTTGCTTGCAAAGTTGATCTCTGAAAATAAGTCGTACCAAACCAAGAGGCACACAAGGAAATCCCTGCTAACAATCTCCTCAAAATAAAAAATAAAAAAGACAGTGACTTAGCCATGTCTTCAGGCTTTTCTAGTGTATCTAAAATCCCCCCCAACTGGAAACATTCAGCTTTGACAGAGTCCAGCTTTGCTTCCCAACTAGTGCCACTCAGGGGCTTCAGTGTGATGTAAAAAAATTCTGTGAGAATATCCCACCTCTTCACAGAAGGCGAAAAGATAGTGTACAATCTCTAAAGAGTTTCAAAGAAGGTTGCACACTCTGCTGGACGAGGTTGCATCACATAACAAAAGAGTCAGGCTTTACATACAGCCAGGGATGAACAGAGCCTCTGGACACCTCTGATGTATCAAAGCTTGGACACGCTTGTGGATTCCCCTCATATTAGAGCCATTCTCATAACTTTGCCCCCTACAATTAGCCAGCTCCAACCCCAGATTATCCAGTAGTCTGTCAATTAATCTTATGCCTTTCCCAGTTGTGTCCTTCACAGCACTGAACCCCACAAAAGACTCATTGATAGTGTTCTTCTTTTTCTCATCTGTATGAACCCACCTATGATAACTGAGGCCTGCTATTGCTTTGACATATCAGGTGTGCAGTCCAGTTGCACTGCAAAGTACTTGGAGGCTTTGACTAGAACACAAATCTGACCTAAAACACATTCTCATTATCCATTATCATTACCGCTTATTCCCTGATGGGGTCGCGGGGAGAACTGGGGCCTATCCCAGTGGTCAATGACCGAGAGGCGGGGTACACCCTGGACAGTCCGCCAGTCCATCGCAGGGCACATTCTCATATTGAATCGAAAAATTCATTTTGAGTGCACCAGGACAGATAATGTTTTAGAAGCAGCCTTTTTAAGATGCTCTGCCAGACGTACCGTGCTGTGAGCTCAAGGATACCCAGAAAATATACATTTTTAAGATTTCATAACTGTGCATGGTACCCCTCAGTGACAGGTTTCTATCCACAAGGAAGAGTGTGCAGTCCGTCACTCCAGTCCAGACACTTCTCCAGTGGCCTTTTCAGAAGCAATGGCTCTCTGCAATTCACTATCAATAGTTTTGTCCAGACATCAGTGGGATGCCAGTTCTTTCCTCATCAGATAAGCATTAATGTGATGACCACTGGTTTCATTGTGCTGGTTTTTCTTTCATAGTGTTTCTAAAAGACACTTTCAATTATTATCCCTGGCCACAAGACATGTGTCAACACCTCCAGCTTCACCGAAAACCTCACATGCAAAACAATAGACCATATTAGTACCTCTGGAGTAGAGAAACCAATCCCGCTCCCCTTTCTCTCCACTGGATAGTACAGGAAAACAGCATGTTTTAGAAAGACGCCTTTTACTCTCATCTGATCTTGGATGTGGCCCATCAGGACATTTCTGACGGCCATTATCAGCCATGGGCTGCCTCAATGAGTCCCCCATTTCATGTGCTGAAGGCCATTCAGATGGAGCTTCTGAGTAATGCCCTGCCCCAACCCTCTCCTCTGCGCCTCCCTGTTCTAGGTCCTCCTCTCCCTCCTCCTCACCTACCTGTTCCAGTTCCTCCTCCCCTCCTCCTCACCTACCTGTTCCAGTTCCTCCTCCCCTCCTCCTCACCTCCCTGTTCCAGTTCCTCCTCCCCTCCTCCTCACCTCCCTGTTCCAGTTCCTCCTCTCCCCCCTCCTCACCTACCTGTTCCAGGTCCTCCTCTCCCTCCTCCTCACCTCCCTGTTCCAGTTCCTCCTCTCCCTCCTCCTCACCTACCTGTTCCAGGTCCTCCTCTCCCTCCTCCTCACCTCTCCGTTCCAGTTCCTCCTCTCCCTCCTCCTCACCTCTCTGTTCCAGTTCCCCCTCCTCTCTCTTCTTCTATTCTTTATTTCCATCCTCACACCTGAACAGACGAGCAATGAGGACTGTTCATTTCCCATATATCAAACAAAGAACACTTTGGTCATCTCACTGATGTCAGTCATTAAAAACAGGCAGAGAAACAGGACACTGCAGGACAAACAACTTGGCCTAGAAAACCAAGGAGATGATGACTTACTTGAGCAGAAATCAGGCCGTGCACACCCCTGTTCACCATCCAAATCTGCTGGGGGTTCATGTGGCTGACAACCTTACCTGGGACCTGCACTCCTCCCTATTAAAAAGGCTCACCAGCAACTGCACTTCCTGTGGTGGTGGAAGAGGGCCCACCTCAATCCATCCATCCTCACCACTTTCTACAGAGTCACCGTAAAGATTGTTCTAAACAGCAACACTGGCTTGAAGGGATGGACAATTGGAACACCTACTGGTCCACAGCAGATGCATGTCTAAAGTGAAATACCTATTTATTTAAGTTTTTATTTAGTTTATTCTGTTTTGTTTTACATATGCAAGTTTTTGCTCAAGTCTTGCTTGTAATTTCATTTTACAGTGCTGTCAAATGATAATAAAGAGATCTTGAATATTGCGAATCTAGTTTATAGAGTTTATAGAGTTTTGGGACATCCCATCACCTAGAAGTGGGAGTCTCGTCAGAGTGGATTCCTGAAGCAGTATCTGAAAAGCTGCTGGTGGAGGCTTTACTTCACCATCCAACGGTGCCTCAGTTCTGTCTGACCTGGACATCATGGATTCAGCCTTTAAAGCTTTTAAGAATCCTGTTCATCCAGAGGATGATCCTAAGAGCTTAAATAAAGACAGCTGGACCTGTTATTGAATCTTGAAGACATTTCTTCTCTCGGGAATCACCTTCCAGTTCTTAAAACCCAGGATTTCCCTTCCTTCAAATCCCATGTCTGACTGTCTGCTTCACCTTAATGGAAGAAAAACAGTTTTGAACAAAAGCAATTATGCAATAAAAGTGATTCATTTTTAAATTATTTAAAGTATATTACAGGTTTCAGTATGTCTTTAGATGACTGACTTGATTTTTCATATTTTTTTAAAGAAAAAAAAAGTTGCTCATCTCCCCGTCGGGGAAAATAACCCTGATTAACCTGTCACGACCACCTCCCGATCAACAATCGGATGGTCAGATGAAAATCAAACCGGTTTTTATTTCTGCTCGGCCCTCGTGAAGGAATCGTGTTATTGAAGCAATGTTACGAGCGTCTATGACCGGATTACCAACTATCTCTGGCACTGTGCCTCCGCAAACAAAAAAGTGGAAGTGACAGTGAGTATCAAGGCAGCTGTTTGTATGTCATGGAATCAAACAATGGAAGCACAACTTGTGGAACTCTGACAGGCTCAGCCATGCCCGTTCGACGTGGCCTCCCAGAATTATCATGACCCATGAGGGGGGGGGATTGCAGCACAATATTAATAATAAAATTCTGTTCTTTTTAAAGCTTTAGGCACACACAATCAAATTTCCAAGGCAGCACTTTTAGTTTTGGTGACCCTCATATTCCTTCCATGTTGTTCAACTTCGTCTTCGCCTTTTAGTCCGATGCGCGTCGGCAGGTCAGCCTAGCGATAGGCTGCGGGGGTGGTATAGATTCTTTTGAAAATGAGTATGGTATCCATATAGAGCGGTTTAGTATCCATACTTTTTGGAGCATCTATCATTTTGTCAACCCTTATATTAACTTATATTTTTCGTCTCTTTACAGAATGTCTATTAGGAAGGTCCTGTACGACAAGGTCCACGGACCATATTACAGGCCCCCCCACTAAAAATACACGTAATGGCGACCAGGGAGCAGACCCGCGTCCTCTCATGGGAGTTCGGGAAAGAGTAAAGAAAAAAAAAGGAACATAAGATGAAGTTAGAAAAGGATGACAGAATAGAGAAAAGGCAACAATAACCCGCGCCGAAAAGAAAAGAGATCCCTAAAACAAGAAGAGCGGAAAAAAACAAACAAACCCATCCATTCAGCTGCTGTATCTGTAGAAAGATGTCCTGTAGTCACCGTGGGAAAACCCGAGGGAGAACCTGTAGGATCACCTGCAAGCAGACACAAGGAAGAGACACACACAAACAGGCAGCAAAGTATAGTGGGATTTGAACGCACACCCCAATCTACAGTCACCAAACAGTTGATTTGTCTAAATAAAAGTGAACATCAAACCCTTGGACCAGTTTGCTGTGACCCGGATTGGAACCGGGGTTACTGCGACCACAACGCAGAGTACTGACCACTATACGATCACAGCTGTGTGCTGACAGGCATTGTGTGTGGAACAAAGAGGCTGCAGAAGGCAGTTCTTTGTTATCAATGGAATGTTTTAGGGTAACCTGCATCACTAACTCAGTCTATGAAGCTCACGCTTGACCCAGTTTCAATTAATCATAAATCAGATTTATATACCCAGACTACAGAGAACCATCAACAATGTGTATTTCTGCAGGTTCGAATAATTCTCACACAGTTGAGCTAGAAAATGCTCATCCTTTTGACACTCCAGCCCCTTTTTTCTCCCCCTTCTCTCCTTTCTTCCCCCCTTCAGGCAGCCTATCAATTCTCAGCTTTGAAGATCAGTTAGCACGTTTGACGTTTAACTGAATGGTTGGTCATACAAGTCCATACAGAAATAAAATAAAACCTGAATAACACAAAGCTCAAGCACAACCCTGAGCAATGAAATGATGGATGAAATCAACACTGCTATGTTTTTACATCAGATAAATCTTATTATATTTATGTTATAATGTTTTGACTTGTCAGTATAGTGATGTCACTGTTTGGTGTCACTGTTGGAACTGATGGAAGTCTCTCCATTGTGATGTCACTTTTTAATATTATTGTGGCCTTTTGATGTCAGTCTGGTCAGTTTGGTGCAGTTGAATTTGCACTTGAACAGTAAATAAGCTATTCACTGTATCTTGTGATTCAAGTAATCATTGATTGCTGTTAATGTAAGTATAGAAACTTAACTAAATTGTTACGAGGGTACACCGACCCATTACGTGTTCCGGACGGACTACAACCCTTTGTGGAATATCGTCTGCTTTCCCTGATTTGTTGATGAAGCTGTTTTTCTTCCCCGACCAGGAATTGAACCCAGACCGTGGTGGTGAGAGCACCAAATCCTAGCCATTAGACCATCAGGGAGATGGTGTGAAATACATTATCTTACACTTTGTGGATATTGGATTGGTTGTATCACTTTTTGCTTCAGCAGCTCTAAGTTATAGAAGGTTTTCAGTCTTCAGGAGAGTCCAGACAGAGTCTTTTGTTTCCATGATAGAGGTTTTTTATGCATGTAATGTGTCTATGATTGATGTTCTGACTGAGTAGAGTAGGACAGGTATAAGGGTTCTCCTGCATTGTGTTTTCCCAGAGAGAAATGGCGAGAATGATAAGTTGTTGTGGCGGAGTTGTTAAGTTGATCGACTAGAAATCCATTGTGGTTTCCCCGTGCAGGTTTGAGTCCTGCCAACAATGACTTTTCTGAATACAGTTTCAATCACATGGATGGACATGTGGATATGTCCTGCTTACAGTACAAAAAGAATTGAAGCTCAGTTGATATTTCACGAGACCCATCTCTAGACACTAAGACTAATGTTGAGTGAAACTGTACAAACACATATAGAGCAGGCTTCAGCATGACCTGGATGCCTGCTGTGGAACACATGAAATTTCCTACACCAAGCTGCCAGAGCCAGTGTGTAAAGACTGTTTGCTTGTTAGAAAGAGGGCTATTAAAATCATAATGGAGATACTGGAAATGGAGTCAGGGAAATCACCACTCCACAAACAATGTGTGAATGAACACAGTGAATGAACAATCATGGAATAGTTTTGGTCTTTGGAGTCTGTTCTTTTCTTTTGCTTATAAAAGTACAAGATCAAATGGAAAATGTTTATTGTGAGAATGCCTT